TCCTCAGTATGTACATTCATGCTGTCGTGAATTCGCAAATCATATGGGCTCATATTGGCAGTACTGCCGACTGCCAGTGCCGGTGAAACATTTGAGGGGGCCATTTCCTATTCCCCTGGGCGCCCAGTGGCGCCGGTCTGCTTCCCCTTGTACTGCTTCCCCTTGTAGTGCCCTTCGCGGTGCCCTTGGCGCCTTTCGTGCCCTTCGCCGCGCGGGACACCAGATCGTCGGACTTCTTCCGGAGCTCTTTCACGAGTGGATGCCCATGCAGATCCGCCCATGACTCCCGCCCCCCTTGCCAGACGTATTCGACGCCGTTCTGCACAACGTTCGCCGTCAAAGCGTGCTCCCCGCCAACTGTGACGGTGCAGGGAGCCTCGTAGGAGACCGCGATCGTGTACGGCACCTCCCAGGTGTTCTTGAGAATGTACTTCAGGCCGAAACAGAAGTTTCGGGCGGCGCGCTCGATGGGGGACCGGTCCTGCTTTGCCCAGATCAGCTTCCCCCCGCTCCGAAGGCCAGCGCCCCGCAGGAACTCGACCGCGCTGTCACGCTCCAGCGTCGTCCCGAACTCGGCGAAGATGATGCCTGAGTAACCTCCCTTCGAATAGACCTTCACTGGGGGAGGGGCTCCCAAAGACGTCAATTGCTCCTGCAACCATGCCGTCGCCTGGGAGAGGTCGGAGAGGCCCTCCAGATTACCGATCACAGCCGTCACCGTCCTCTTGCCTATGGTCGGGTCCTGGTTCGCGCCCTTCTTCATGATCGTGTGCTCGCCCTCTTGCTTCATGTACACCTTGATGTAGTTGCGCACCATGGTCCCGACGTCGTCGGTTGGAAGGGGCGCCTTCTTCACCAGCTCCTCGTGTAGGTTCTCCAGCTTGTCCACGCGGGCCTCGGTACTGATGATACTCGCCTCGACGTCCGCAAGCCGGTTGCACATCGTCTCGCCGAGAGTGGTGAATTCGAGCTTCAGCTTCCCGAAATCCTCCCGCAAGCGCTCCACCACTGACGTTACGGGGGTCAACTGTTGCTTCAAGAAAGCCGCGATGCCCGACATCGTAACCGGCTCCGTCAACGGACCCCCCTCCGTGCCACTCGGTAGAGCAGCTCCTGTAGCGGCGTCGGCATTCGAGAAGTACAGCTGCCGAAAGGGGTTCCCGAGCTGTTTATCCTTCTCCTCGTCGTCCGAGAGCAAGCCATCGTCCATCTCGTGCAGGGGGCTCCTCAGGCGGGCCCTCTTGTCGGCGGGAGTGGCAAGGGGCACAACTTCGACCAGCGCTGCCTCAGAGGATGAGCTGCCAAGTACTCCACGCACTGGAGTGCCCGGCTGGCGAGTGTTCACCGGCATGGAGTGTTCGAGAGAAAATCGAAGACAATCTGAAAGGGTGTAGGGTGTAGGGTGAGAGCAAAGGTGAGAGCAAAGGTGACACCGACTTGAGCCACGAAACCTTGAGCCACAATTGCTTGAGCCATGTTCCTGTTCCAATTGCTTGGTGCTTGAGCCACAATTGCTTGAGTCACAACTGCTTGGTGCTGATGATAGAGTGAGGATATTCCTATTCATGTTCCTGTTCCTGCGCGGGAGTGTCCAGAGAAAACAAAAACTCCACACAGGGCGTGAGGAAACAGGACCCCACTTAGGAGATGGTGAATACAGAATAGGGCGCAACCATCGTCGATAACTGAAGGACCTAAGGTGCCCCAGAGTTTCTTTGGGTCCCTGGGGCAGGGGAGGAAGGAGGAGGAGATGGAGAAAGAGGAGGATGAGAACGGGAGATCGAGCTTCGAGGGTCGAAAGAGAAACACAAGGAACCGCGAAGATTGAGGACGAGGAGAAGAACAAGGCTCCAAGGCCCCTTTTTCCTCCTCTTCCTCCTCCTCCTCCTCCTCCTCCTCCTCCTCTTCCTCCTCATCCTCCTGCTCCTCTTGTGTGCGCCCTCCTCCTCCTCGTCGTCCTCGTCGTCCTCGTCGTCGCCTTCCTCCTCCTCCTCCTCCTCCTCCTCCTCCTCCTCCTCCTCCTCCTCCTCCTCCTCCCCACGCATGCGCTACCGCGAACAGGGGGGGAAGTGAGGGAGGTGAAAGAGAAGGGAAGATCGAGGACGGAGGATTTCGAATAATCTGAGCCCGCTCTCGGCCTCCAGAGGCCTTCAGGAGACGCACGGGGGGGTCGCCGTCGTCGTTTTGATTTGTGTCAGGCCTGCAGACACCGCTGCCGCCGGACGGGGAACTGAACTGGCGGCGGGGGGGGAGAAAGGGAGATGCGGTCAGGAACTGTTCTGTTTGTGTCGCGGCGGCGCCGCTCGCGACACGCTATGCCCGCGGGTCGGGAGTGGGGGAAAGGCGTGGTACGCTGATGTTCGGGGCCTGGGACAGGGTTAGCATGTCGCGTCGAAACGTGGTGGGCCAGAACCGGGGACGCGACACGCTGAGCAAACGCTCCTGACCGCAATCGGATGGCGCCAACGATACACCCCAACTGATCCTGACCCGGCACATGGTGGGCATAGACCGGTGTGGACGCAGTTCCTGGTTACACCGGCCCTGGGCCCACAGTGGACCTGGCCAGGATCGGTGTGGGTGCATCGTTGGCGCCATCCTGCACTGGAGGGGGCGAAGGCAGTGCTCGAACCTCTTTATTGAAGCAGCTCCACGCGCCACACTGTATTTGGTGCACTTCAGCTCCAGGGCTGAATCGGAAAAGCGCTTAGAAATTCATGTGTGCAGGCCAATGCCACGATCGGCGGCGCGCTAAACAAGAGGTGGGCGAAGGGGCGGGGAGCTCGAACAGTCGTTCGTGACGTTTGGCATGTATGGGCGTATGTTTGGGGTGTCAGACCGCCAAACATAGACATGGCATGGAGAAGCGGGCCAAGATAGACCCAGGGAGGAGCCCGTGGACCGATTTCGAGTCGATTCGGGTCGGCGCACTGGCAAATTGACGGGGCGAGCGAAAAGGCCTTGCAGGACACGGGGGAGTTCTTTTCGAAGGGTCTGACGCACGAGGGATTGGACGCCTCGGGAGGATTTGTTGGACGCCCCCCACATTGCTACAGCGCCACCCCATCGCGTCGCCCCAGAACCAAATAGTTTCAAAACCTTTTGTCCACACCCCTCCCGCGGCCCAGACTGGCAACCCTTTTCGGCTTGGGTCCAACCGCTTGGCGAGAGGATCTTTCCTACGAAACAACCAAAAACGACTAAGACAATGACAGCGTCTTCCCCCCGCTCATGAAGAACGTTAGGGGGACCGGCCCAGGGGGGAACATCGAGACGGAATCGGCGATTCAGCGCTGATAGATCCGCGAGCTTTTTCTGCCAGCAGTGGTAACACCAAAGCAACCTCGACATTACGCCGAGGAGGCTCAGGGGAGGAGAGAGGAAGCGGCGGCGGCATCAGATGACGACGCTGATCTCTTGGCACAGGATGCGCCACGCCGCGCGACCACTTTCCGCAACGCGAAGCGGGCCTCCGCCGCCACGCCGCAGCGGCGCCAGCGGCGGAAGCTGTCAAACACAGGGTGGGGGGGGCCCTTGATGGGCCCCCGCAGGTTGGGCCAGCTTGGCCCGGGAAGGCCCGAGCCCCAGAGGAGAAGCGAGAAAGAGAACGGGAGAACATGCAATAATGAAAACAGGAAAAAGGAAAAGCCCGCACATTCCTGGGGGCTAAGAAAACCTAGAACCTACAACAGACAACTGAGCTGTCTCTGCCATCGGCGATGGCAAGGACGAAAGCTTCGAGCCTGTGCCGAGGAGGCTCAGGGGAGGAGAGAGGAAGCGACGGCGGCATCAAATGGCGGCAATGATCTCTTGGCACAAGATGCGCTACACCGCGCGACCACTTTCCACCGCGCGAAGCGGGCCTCCGCCACCCCCTTCAGCAAGGAGTCGCGGGGCTCCACGACGACGTCAAGCTAGTCAGAACCGTGCTGCGGTGACCCCTGCCTCTGACGAAGCTGCACCGCACCGCATGCACGTGCAAAGGGCTATTCTGGCGGGCACCGGCATCTCCCTCCTGATGTCACTGCAACCCTCGCAACTGGCCGTGCCAGCGCCTGACCTAGACCCCCTCGAGTAATGAAAAAAATCACGATGGGAGGTGTTTCATCATTTTGGCCTTTGGGGGCCCTTACTGGGCCTCGAGGCCGTCAAAAATCGACTCAGGACGAAGAACCAGTCCCCGGGAAAGGGCCCGGACTTCTGGGGGTCGCGCCATGAAAAATTCATGACGTCGGGGGTCTGGGGATGGAGCCCGGCACCGCTGCGCCGGCGCCCCGCTGGCCCGGCGGGAGCCAAGCGAAAGCGCCCGCGGATCGCCCGGGGCGGGCCTCGGCCAAGATCCCCACGATCCTTCTGGCCGGGCCGCCCCTGGAAGTCACCGCCCCCCCAATGTGAGCACGCCCGTTCAACTAGTGGCGCGCCCGCCGCCACGGGGCGCGAACGCCCCTTCCCGGCTCGAATGGGGCCACCCCTCAAAGGACCTAGGCACACAGCTCTAGGCCGCCTGGCCGGCGGCCCGGCTCGCGCGCCCAGCCGGGCGCGCGCGCCCCCCCCCTGCGACGGGGGGCCAGCCCCGCAGGGGACCGGGGCATTTGGATCTATAAGGCCGCCCGCCGGACACTTTGCCCGCGCGCCGGCAGCGGCATCGCTCGCCGCGCGGTCTCAGCGCAGAGACGCGTCGCCCGCGCATAGGGCCCCTGGACACCTGCGTCGAGGAAGAGATTCCCTGGGCGCCGCCCGCGCTGCCCAGCTGTCTCCTTGGGCTTCTAGTCCTGCATGATCCTCCTCTGATGGCTGTTCGCTTCTTTGGGCCGGCTGCGGCACCTCCCCGCGGTCGCGGCCCCTCCGAGGGCCGTCGCCAGCGCGATGGTCAGCGCGACCAGCTCCAGGAGGCCCCCCCGGGGTCAGAGGGGCCACCACTTCCGGCGCCCCTCCTCCGATCGCGCCGGCCAGGCGGGCCCCAGTCGGCCCCTCCCCTTCGAATCCGACCCAGGCCCCACCTATAGGCCGCGGCCGCGCCGGCGGCGTGGCCCAGCAGCGCGGCTGACGCGGCCGCCTTCGCCAACGTCGCGGGGGCCCCTGTCGTCGGCCTCGCCGCCGGCTCGGTCGGCTCCGACCACTCCGAGGCCACGTGGTCGGCCGCGCCCTTCGCGGGCTCGCGCGACTCCCAGAGGTGGTCGCGGAAGGTGTCGCCCTGCCAAGGCCCAGACCTGCTGGCCTGGCCGAGGTCCGACGCCACGCGGCGCGCAGCCGCGCGCCCCCCGCCCCCTCGGGCAGCTGCGGGAGCCGATCTCATCCAGGCCCAGACACGCGCAGACCCGACCCCTTCACCCTGATGCGCAGCGCGCGGCGCGCCCCCATCGCGGCGAGGGCGCGGGCGGGGCAGAGGGCGGACTGCGCGGCGCACTCGTTCCTGACCGCGCCGACGTTGCACGGGTTTGCTTGGGAGCCCTCGACGCGGATGACCGCCTCGCTCGCGCCCTGGAAAGCGGCCGCCCTCTCGCCGTTCAGGCGGGCTTCGAGATATCTTCGCCGCGAATGGCTCGCCCCACCACGGGCACGCGCCGGCCCTCGAGGGGGGGGGGGGGGGGAGAATCGCCGGGGTCGCTGCCAAGACCACGCAGGCGCCCGGCTTCGGGAGGCCCGACCCCTTCCTCATGGAGGAACGTCTCGAGCCAGACCAGCACCCAGGGGGTCAGAGGCCTCGCGCGATTGGCCGCGGGCCCCTGCCACCTCTCGAGGCCGGCCAGGGTTGCCCAGCAAGCCCGCCGCGACGGAGCAGGGGGCCCGCAAACCCTGAAACTAAGTGGGCGAAGCGGATCGCGAAGAGCTTCTGATGGATCGCTCCTTCGTCGAAGCCGAGCACGGCGGCCAGCGCGACGCCGACGTCGATCAGCGCGCCCGCGCGCCCCTATCGGCCATTCCCTGGGAGCTAAGGATCGAGACCTCAAGGTCGCCAGAAGGCCCCCCGTAGGCGCCTGCCGCCTTCGTGCCCGACGCGGGCCCCCTCGCTGAGCTCCTGAAAGATGGCTTCCATCTTCTGGGCTCGCAGCCAGGCGCCGCGCCCAGGACCTCCCGCCAGGCCGGGGGGCGCCGCCCAGTCGCCCGCGCGCTTGTCCCGGAGCCGGGGGCTTCACAAATGTCTCGTGGAAGGCGCCCTGGACCTTCCCATGTTCACCCAGCATCGGACATCGCCAGCGAGAGGTCGGTCGTCGGGGGGCGCCGAGAGGCCCGAGATGGTTCCGTCGCCCATCAGCACCTGACCGCCTGGCCCCCGCGACGAATATTGCGAATCTCCTCGTCGGAGGCCCCCCCCTGCCCTCTCGGGCGCGCCCTTGCCCAGCTCGGCGCCAGGGTCGTCCCGGACCAGCGTCCATGCACTGAACGAGCTCTTAATCACGGCCCAGGCAGCGCGCTCCTCTGGGCCCCCACGCGCGCCTGCGCAAGCGCTGTCCTGCTCGGACAAGGCAGCCGCTGCCGCGCCGAGGATGGCCTCGGCCGTCTCGGGAGGCATCGCCCTCGCAGAGGCGCGCAGCAACTCTCCGATCGCGTTGCCCTCCGCGACGCGCCTGTCCCAGGCGGCCTCGGTGCACCCCCGCGCGCGCCAGACCTCCGCGGGAATCAGCTCGCGGACCTTTCCGGCTCTCCTGGACGCGGAGATGCGCGGCGCGCGGGCCGGCGGGCCCCCAGCCTGGCCACCCGATGGTCGGCGCGTCTCTGAGCTGCTGCCCCCGCCGCTGGACGCGCCCGCGGCGGGCGCCCCGGCCCTCCTCGTTGACTGCGGTAGACGCCAGCTGCCGAGCGCAGCGGCAAGGCGCCCCAAGACGACGCGCGAAGCAAGCGGCCACGCTCTGGGCGGCGGCGGCGTCGTCGGAGCCGCCGGCGCAGAAAGCGTCGAGACGGACTTCCAGCGCGGATCCGCCGGCGCCCGCGTCGCTGGGGGGCCCAGGCTCGGAAGACGCGCGGGCGCCCTCGAGCGGCTCGATCGGCGGGGGGCCCGCAGGAGACAGAGCGGGATCTTCTGCTGCCGGGGCGCCGCTCGGGCGGCGTCGGTGAGCTAGCTCCTGCGGCCCAGGCGCATCCAATGCTGGGCTAGGCTCTGCATGGTCGGTTGCACAGGGTCGCGCGCGGGGCGCGCTTCTGGGACGGTTCCTCCGGGGCGCCACTGGACCAGCTGGTTGCCGGGGGCCCAGGGCAGATTCCACTGGCGACGCGCGAGCGGTCGCGGCTTTCCCCCGACAAGCGCGCTGCAAGGGGGGGGACTTCCCCCGGGCTGCGCGAGGCGCCGCGGCGGCGACCGCCAGGGCCCCGAGCTCCCGGACACGGAGGAGCGGGCGCTGCAGCGCACTCCAGAAAGCCCCGCGGCAAGCGCCCGGATCTGCTGCGTTGCAGGAGCCCGCCCCTGCAGAGGTCGAAATAAAAGTCCTCGCCGCGTGGCCCGCGCACGAGGGCCCCGGCGTTCTGGGCCGAGGCGCCGCGCCCGCGCGCCGCGTCGACCGCGCTCGGGAACACGACCGACTGGGGCCCATCGGCCCAGCGAACGCGAGTCACCAAGACATGCCCCTTCATCCCGGACGGCCTCGAACTCCACGTCGGAACTCTGCCCGGGCCGGGGAGCGGGGGGCGACTCGAAGCGCGCCGAGTTCAAGCCAGCCGCGGGCGCGGGGGGCCCGCAAGGACGGCTCTCGGGGCTTGCTCCAGGCCCCAGGTCCCCGGGGATCGGGCGCGCGGACCTCCGCCGGCACCACTTGGGGCAGGGCGCCCTGGGCCGCGGCCGCCGCGGCCGCGCCGGCGCCGCGCCGCGAAGAGACCGCCGGGGGGGAGGGCTGAAGGGCCGCGGAAGCCGCCGTTGCCCGGCCTCCGTTTCCGCCCAGGCGCGCGAGGCGCAGGCGCGCTCCAGCGGCGGCGCCCGCGGCCTGTCAATCAATAACACTTCACCCGGGGTCATCGGCGCTCCTGATCGCGGCTGGCGCAGACGCGTTCGGTGGCGCCGCATCCCTCGGAGAGCTACAGGACGTCTGAGGACCCGCCTCCATCGCACAGGAGGCTCCGAACAGGCGGCGTCGCAGCAGCCGCCAGCCGCGAGCGGGGGCGCACTGCTCTCGAGCACGACGCCGACCTTGACTGCCACGCAGGGCCGGCCCTCTCGCTCGACCTCAGATTCGGACTCCTGGCCCAAGATTTCCGCTAGGCCAATTGCCGCGCGAGACGCCGCGTCGCAAGCCGCGGCGCGGCGGCGGCGGCGCCTGCGGCGACGCCCTCCACCTCGGCAGATCACGCGGCCCAGGGGCAGGGCACCTCGCCAAAACAGTGGCGCCCCCTTTGCGAGCACGCGCCGCACGAGGGTCAGCCCCCCGGCGCGCGGCGAAGGCGGCGTGGGCGCCCACGTCGGCGACGGCCTCAGAGTCGAGCACGACGTACTCCAGGCCGTGAATGTCCCCGCCCTTGACTTTGCAAACGTGAGAACGGTCACGGTAAACCCGCTTGGGCTCAGCCTGCTCCAATCGCGCTGCCCCTGCGCTCGCGCGATAGCCCCCCCTTCGCCGCCGCACAATTGATCCACGGCCACGACAGGCCCGTGCAGTTCACGGCCTGAGGGTCGACGCGGAGGCTAGCAACGTGACCATCGATGCGACTGAGAAAATCACGGGAATCCCGGCCTGCGCCCCGCCCCATGGACCTTCTTGGCAAAACACTCGGTGGTGGTGTCGGAACCATGGCTGGGCCAGCCCAGGCCACGGCCGTCGGCTGCGGCGCCGCTGGCGGCCGAGGCTCGCCCACTTCTGCTTCGCTGGGCGAGCGACGAGGGCACTCGAACACGCACCAACTGCAGGGCGCGCGCGGTCAAGGCCAGAACCCCAGAATCCCAGGGATGCCCAGGACGATGCCGAGCCCCGCGATGAGCGGCCAGAACGCGCCACAGAGGTAGGCGCCCCTGTGGCCCTTAAGGTAGAGCAGCCAGCCGCCGCCCTGGCTGAGCCATCCTGCCGCATTCTGGGTGGAGAAAGCGCCTCTGAGGTTCTCGACGGTCTCAGAGGCCCAACCTCCAGCATCCTCCCCCCTCGGCTGTCCAGTACCAATCCGGTTCCCCAACTCAAGATCCAGGTTCCCGAGCCCCCGATCCAGGAGATATCTGGAGACGCAAGGTGGGGGCAGGACTGGTTGGCCCCCCCTTCCCCCGCGGAGGGTCGGCGGCTCGTCGCCGCGCGCGAACGAGCGGCACCCGTGCTGCGCCACGGCGCTCGCGGGGTTGGGGGGGGCCCCAAGGCGCGGCTCGGCGGGAGCCTGCCGAGCGGAAGCCCGATCGCCAACCGCCCGCCGCGCGGCTGGCTGTCGGGCCCTCTCGGGAGACTCTTCATGGGGGGGGATCCCATGGGGGGATAGGATCCCAGGGGGGGGGATCCCACAGAATCCCCTGGGGATCCCATGGGGGGGGCAGGAGGGGATCCCATGGGGAGGATCCCCTCCTGCCCCCCCATGGGATCCCCCCCCATGGAGAGTCTCCCGACCCTCGTGCCCCTCCTCGCGAATGCCAGGCCGGCGAGGAGACGGGTGGACCACACCGCTGCGCGGCTGGCGGCAACCGATGCCACGGCACGGCCGTCGTCGCCCATCCGCCCAGGCCGCGGCGGCTGGCAGAGGGGCCGCGCGCGCTCCGCCCCGCAGCCAGGCGCCGGCGCGGCGCGGCCTCGCGCGGCCCGCGGCCGGCTTCCGGGGACGCCCGGAATTCTGCGGGCCGCCCGCGTGGGCCCCCCGAGTATCCAATCTCGGGCCAACGGAGGCCGACCCCCCGCTTGACCCCGAAAGGCTTCCGCCCCAGAGAGGAAGCGAGAGCGACAGAGAAAGGGGGCAGGAGCAGAAGGGGAAGGAGGAGAGCCCTCGCATTCCTGGGGGCCGAGAAAGCCTAGCAAGTACAACAAACAACAAATTGGCCCCCGCTGGCGAAACCGCCCTCTACTGTTGCCCCCTGGCCCTCGGGGTATAACCGGCTCTCTGGCAGCCGTTAGGGATGATGTGGGCACCCGAGGAAATCTCTGGGCGAGGCGCAGCTGCAGGAGAGCACCCACAGGCGGAAGACCGTCGAAGACTGGCGAAAAGGCCTTCGAACCTCACCCCCCCCCACACTCCGAGGCTACAGTCGGGGCGTTGACCTAAGGAACCCTAAATAAGGAACGAGGCCCCTTTTTTCCATAAGTTAAACTTCGATTCCCGATCGAA